GCCTCCACTCCCACGCCTCCGCCGCCTCATCGTCATTGCCATCGTCGTCGCCTTCAGCGCCGCTGCCCGTCACACAATCGACCGAATTCACTTCTCCACCTTCTTCTCCGCAGTCCTATTCGCCACTGACCAGCCCCGGCCGTACGCTCACGCCCCTTCATCATCCTTTCTCCCGCTGCAGCTGATCGCGTGTCGTGTCGTGTCGTGTGTGCGGTGTCGCAGTTCCGGTCAAGTACGACATCCAGGAGGTCGTTGAACTGTGGAAGGTGCACGTACTCGATCTCCCTGCCGACACCTGTACGTTGCAATGCCCCCACTCAAAATATATGGAATATATATATACACATTCATAAATAATGCTTACCGTTGTGTTGATGTGTTGTACAACGCAGATGGCGAGGGACTGGTGGTGGTGAGCACGCCTCTCCGCAGCTTTGTGTTTGCCTTCGGCAGCGCGGCGACCAAGGGCGAGTGGATGACCGCCCTTCAATCCGCCGTGCAGAGGCTCTTCACCAGTACGTCCTCGCCTGGTTGATCGCCATCATTTGCGTGTCTCCTTCGCCTTCCTCCTCGTCGTATTCTCACCCACGCCTTTCTCACACAGGTATCTGACTGGCCACAACACTCAAAATCGGGGGGGGGAAATTAAAAAATAAATTTGGCTGAAACATAGTGATGCGGTAAGAAGCGTATTCATTTGCCAGTTGTGGAGGAGAACACCCAAGTGCCACGGTTGGGCTACTGCCTCACTTCCACTCAACCTGCACAACCAGGCATGCAGCTTTCTGCTGGTTGGATGCAGGCCAACCCCCTGTTTTGGGATTTTTTTTTCCACCTTTTCCCGTTAGCTGCAATAATTGCCCAAAAATTACGCAGAACTTTTTGGCAGTTTCCAAGATAAATGAAAATTGCAATTTGAAGCTGTAAAATACACTTGGAAAAAATAAAAATACCCAGGATTCCCCCCAACAGCACATTTAAGGTGGCTAGGAACGCGGTTCAAAGTTTTCTGGCCAAAACGAAAAGCACCACCTTAAAGGTGGCAGGGGTGGGACGAATTTGTGGATTTTATTGATTCTGAGACTGCCAAAACAGTGAAAAACGTTGTGTACGTGTCCGCAGGTCCTTTCATAGCGCGCGACCCTTGAAATATTGCTGCATGAGGCCGCATCTCTGGCTTCGGCTGGCATCGAAAATTATGGGAAAAGGATGGTGGCATTGAGAAATTGTGAAAGAAAAAAAGTCGACATGAACCGCAATCCGAAAGGTTACCGTATGCTAAGAAACAACTCGAAGTGAAAAGCCTTGAGGCCGGTAGCGCGCACACCAGCACAAGCAAGTATGCCGCCCAAGCGCAAGCACCACCAGCAGCAGGCCGAGACGGAGCACAAGGCTGCGCCAGAGGACCAGCAGGAGAAAGGAGTGAAGGAAGAAGAGCAACAAGAGGAGGCTAAGGCGAGTGAAGAGAAGGCCAAGGAGGAAGAAGAGGGGGTGGGGGCAAAAGCAGCGTCCTCACCCAAGGAAGAAAAAGACATAAAAGAAGAAGAAGAGAAAGATGCGCCAGAGGTGAAGCGCAGGAAGGTCAGCTTCCAAGAAGAAAAAGAAGAGAAGAAGGAGGAGGAGAAGAAGAACGTTCAAGAAGGCGAGGTCCAACCGTTCGAGTTTGCGTGGGACAAGTTCATCGGGCTGCTCGAGGGCGACGGCGCGGGCTTCACGGGCGCCGAGCCGGACGTCAGCGTGTGCGAC